GAGTGGAGAATAAAACCTCCCAGTCCCCAAACCTACTCCCTAGAGGCAACCACTGATGTTTCATATGTGTCCCTCCCTAAAGGTTTTTATGAATATTCAAGATTGTGGGTGTTGGGCTTCCCTGGTGGCGCAGCGGTTGAGAGTCCGCCTGCCGATGCAGGGGACGCGGGTTCGTGCCCCGGTCCGGGAAGATCCCACATGCCGCGGAGCGGCTGGGCCCGTGAGCCATGGCCGCTGAGCCTGCGCGTCCGGAGCCTGTGCCCCAAAGGAGGAGAGGCCAAAAAAGTGAGAGAGAGCCCCGCTTACCAAAAAAAAAAAAAAAAAGGTTGTGGGTGTCAATGTAATCTTCCCCACAAATAGAATTATACATCTTGTACCATAATGCAATTTGGATGTTTTCTAGGTTAGCGCACAAAGAACTACCTCATTAAAAAAAAAAAAAAGACCCAGTAGCATTCCATCCTAGGAAGGAATCCTCATATTCTTAACAGTGATTGATAGATAGATGGATGGCTAGACAGACAGGAGATGACATAGTTATCCCCACACCTGAGTTTTCTATGGTGTTTATTTAAATGTCGTGTCACTGGGTGGTAGCATGTATATCTTCAGCTGAACTAGGAATCACTAAATTGACCTCTCAGGCGTTTATACCACTTTACATGCCCTTTGGTAGTGTCTGAGATTCCATTCCATAGCTTTGCCATCATTTGTATTGTTAGGTGTCTTAATCTTTGCCAGTTTGGCGCATCCAAAATGGGATCTTGTTATCAGAATTGGCATGTCCCTGATCAGGCATCTTTTCACATGTTTACAGTCACACGTCCTTTCTATAAATTGCCTGTTTCTCTGTAACCAAACACCTTTCTGAATTTTTCAGTTTTTTGATAGTTATTAAAATGTCAGTTGCTTCCCTGGATACTCTAGGCATATGATCATCATATACAAGTAATGGTAACTTTGTTTTCTCCTTCTCACCTTCTCTTATTTTATTCAGAGCCCATCTCACCATGTGGGCTGAGTGTTTCCAAAACAGTGTTAGATGGTGGTGACGGCTCAGCATCGCATCTTTCGTGACCATAGTGGGTGACCTGTTGCTGCTACACTGCTCAGCATGATGCGGACTTTCGGTTGAGATATATTCTTCTTTTTACCATGTTAAGGAAATGTTTTTATACTAAAGGCTTCTGTCAGGAAAGATTGTTATCAAATGCCTTCCTGTCACAAAGATAAGCTTTTTTTACCCTTTGACTTCTTATTATGGTTTATAATATTGAATCTTCACGGCAGGGATAGAAATACTGTGCTTTTTTTTTTTTTTTTTGGCTGCATCAGGCCTTCATTGCTGTGCACGGGCTTTCTCTAGTTGCGGCGAGCGGGGGCTACTCTTCGTTGTGGTGAGCGGGCTTCTCATTGCGGCGGCTTCTCTTATTGTGAAGCACAGACTCTTGGCATGTGGACTTCAGTTGTTGCAGCACGCAGGCTCAGTAGTTGCGGCACGCAGGCCCTAGAGTGAGTGGGCTTCAGTAGTTGTGGTGCACGGGCTTAGTTGCTCCGCAGCATGTGGGATCTTCCAGGACCAGGGATCGAACCCATGTTCCCTGCATTGGCAGGCGGATTCTTAACCACTGCGCCACCAGGGGAGTCCAGAAATATTGTGCAATTTTAATTGGTTGCTTTGGGAGAGCAGCAGAGTTCCTCTAACACAAAAGAGCATGTTCCTTCCCTAAGCAAATGCATTCATAGGACATTCTGTAATGAAAGACTTTTAAACTCAGTAGGAGAATTTGAGGCAAAAGGAAACTAAATTTGTTCTTCACAGGTCAACAGGAGTTCTCTGTTTTCCTCAGGCTGCTTGATGCTCAAGAGGGAGGAGTCTGGGGGGACCGAGGACTTGGAGAAAAAAGCAAAAGGAGAGCCCAAGAGCTCCAGGAGGAGGGGCAGAGGGAACCTGAGAAAGACCGTGTTGATAGCCTGGGGCTCCCAGCTGGGCGGGCAGAGGCAATAAGCTCTTCCCAGATTTCGAGTCCTTAGGATATTGGTACTTCTGTTTCTGTTGAAAGGATTTCAGGAAGTGAGGATACCTGTGGGAAGGGCCTCATTATACCTTTTTGATGTTTTAATGTGTTTCGTTGATTACTAGTAAAGCTCAGCATCTAATTTATTTGCATTTCCACTACTTAACTTAGAAGTAATGTCTTGTTTCCGTCTAATAGTTTTACTTATTATGTTTAAATTTTTATGATATCAGCAGTTTATTTACATCCTTAATTTGAAGTAGGGATCTAACTTTATTTGTTTTTCCATTTTTAAAGCCTTTATTGAATTTGTTACAATATTGCTTCTGTTTTATGTTTTGGCTTTTTGGCCCCGAGGCATGTGGGATCTTAGCTCCCCAACCAGGGATCGAACCCACACCCCCTGCATTGGAAGGCGAAGTCTTAACCACTGGACTGCCGGGGAAGTCCCTCTAACTTTATTTTTAATCAAATGTCTAAACAGTTGTACCCAAACCTTCTGCTTATTGACTTAAAATACCATTTGTAATACCTTGATCAAAGAGTTTAAACCTACCTAGGGTAAATTCATTCTTCACATTAATGCTAGAATGAGTCTGTATGTTTATATAACGAAGTTGGCCTATAGTAGTGGAATTAGTCAGTGGTCCCATGGGCCTCCCTCTCTCCTCACTGATTCTGTGGCTGGAGCTCTGTCTTGGTTCATCAGTAGGTTCTGGGCCTGAGCACTACAACTGCTGTTGGAACTCAAGCTGGACAGCAGTTCCAGGTGACCAGAGGGCGTGTCAGGTTGGTTTTGGCCCCAAGGCTGGACATTTCTCAGTGTGATTGCATCACAGATCATCACAAGACCCCATTGTTTCTCCATGACTTTGCGTGGGGTTGGACAGGAAAGTGCGTCTGCTGTGTCTGCCCTCCTGCATCCGGTGTGGCCGGGGCCCCATCTAGCTGCTCTGGTTCTGCCCCATCCCCTCCTCTCCTGGGTGCTGACAGCACAGCAGATGCCTCCGCCTCAGCGGCTGGGGTGGCCCTCCTTCTAGGCGAGCGTGTGAATGGACTGTCAGCTGGAGCCCACAGTGGCCCTCTCCAGTGTGCTGGTCTTACAATAGTTGGACTTGTTGGCAGTGTGGGTTTGCAGAGGAATAAATGGGAAATGAGTGGGGAGTGAGGCGCTGCAAAATGAAGAGTGAAGCGGCCAGCTTTCGAGTGCCTGGACTAGGAAACGGGCACCACGTCACGACCTCACCTCGGCCTGTCGGGCAGGGCAGTGTAAGCACTGGCCCAGGCCAAGGGGCTGCTCTTCCTGCCATGGTTCTTAAGCCCCGCAGTGCCTTCCACGGAGCAGCCAGAATCATCTTTTTTCAAAGTCATTTCTCTGTTCAGAAGCTCCAGTGACTCACCTTTTAATGCCTCTGTGGCCCGTGTGACGGGGCCCCTTCCCATCTTTCTTCCCTGCGTTCACTCCACCCTGGCCACGCTGGCTTCCTGGTGCCTCTCACACACTCCAGTCGTGTTCTTGACTCTGGGCCTTTGCATCGACGTTCCTCCAACCCGGAAAGCCCTTCTGACTGTTCAGAGCTCTGTCTACTTAAATGACCCCCGCTCAGAGATCTCTCCGGTTACTTTATGTTAAACAACAACCTGCATCATTCTGCACCCCAATAGCCTGCCGATTTTTCTTCACAGCAGTTATGTGCTTTGGTTTATTCATCTCTTTATCCCACTAAAGAGAGTCCCAGGAGGTGGTGACTTTGAGGTTTGTCCGTTGCATTTCACTGGTGCCACGGTTTTCTGTAATTTGTTATAAAGGCCAGCCAAGAAGGCTTAGGGGCACAGAAAAGCACCCTTCATGGTAGATATAAATGAGAAGCAAGATGGCCATCTTGAGTCAGCACTGGCCCTCCCTCCTGCCTGCACTGAGCCCGCCCGCTTCTGCCCAGGGGTTGGGTTGGGAGGAATGTCTCAGGGCAGGTCTCTCCCCCCACTCAGAAACTGCTGTTCAGCAAGATGGGAGTGAAGGATGTGTTCTTACTCTGACCCCCACCTCCTGGACACACACAACATGGCCCAGACAGCTGCTCACACCAGGGCACCAGGGCACCAGGCTGGGATGGCGCATCAGCCAGCACCCACCCCTGTGTACCAACCAGCGTTTTTCGTGGCTCTGGGGTCGGCGTTGGGCTCTGGGGAGGCGGGGGCGGGCAGCGCCTGCAGAGCCAGCACCACAGAGCCATCGATGGGCTGTCATACTAGCTTTCACTGTGTTCCTGCCCTCAGACAGTGTCACACTGGTCTTGTGACAGCCCGGTGAAGTACACACTATCAGGCACATTTTATAGGTGAGGAACAGGAGGTATTACTTGTCCAGGATCACAGAGCCGGAAAGAGTCCATTTGGGTCTCTTGGCTCTGGCAAAAGTACCACGCTGTGTCTCTTCCGTCAGCGCCCACGTTACCTGTCTGTGTGGTGAAGCCAGTCGTCCTGTGGAGCTGCCTGGCGAGGCCCGTGCAGGCTTCCTGTCTGGTCACACCCCGAGTGCTTTGCGCTGTCTGGTGTGTGTCACGGGTTCCGTGTGTCCCACTGAAAGCAGCTGCTGTGCGTCTGGCTCTTCGGGGCGCTTTCCGTGTCTCTGAAGTGGAGCTGCAGGAAGTGCTAGTCCTTGTGGGACAGTTGAGAAAGTCCGATGAGTGAGAAAGCTCTGCGCGCATTCAGGAATTAGTCATCTATTCTGGGGCCTCATCTGAACAATGAACTTGAACTGGATGGTCTCAGGGTCCCTTCTAGTCTGGTTTTCTGAGACTGTGTTCTTGATTTGAAGTTTCAAAGCCACCGTATTAATTGGTCACCATTTCCCCGGACCCACCCCCTAGGGGCCTTGCAGCGATGGCGTCTGTCCCTGACCGCAGACCCGGGACTGGCTTTGGCACCCCTCTGGGACGTCTGAGTCCCGTTGTGTTTCTAACTGCTGTGTTTGATTTCTAGATTCCTCAGCTAACTACAAGCAAGAGAAGAGAGGCTGCCCAGTTCTCCATCGTTATGGGGGTGGCGAGGGAGCTTTCTGGAAGGAACTCCTCAGAGCAGACTGTGTGGCAGTGACCTGCTTGGAAGAGGGGCTGGGATTCTGCAGCCCGAGGCCACTGCCTCATCTCTGACACTGCTGCTGAGGTGTTTTCACAGGTGCTGTTTTCTGTTTCACGTTTTCATACAGAGGAGGGGAAAGGGTAGCTACTGACAAGTAGAAAAATGCTATTTTTTAAAGGCAGTTTCTTGTTTTTTCAAATAGAATAAGTCCTTGGTTTTTCTCCAGTCCCAACCCCCTTCCCGCTGCTCATGTCTCTGGGTAAATACAAATAGAGATGGCTTTGTGTATTTTTGTAGGGCTCTCAGTTTTGAGGAGAGAGAATTATGTTACAGATGTTTTTGTTGTAAGCAAATAAAAGACTTCCTTGTCCTTGCAAGATCCAGTGTAAATTGTGTGAATTCAATTAAACTTATAAAGTCAGTAGGTAGGGTAGAGGGACAGCCATTCGTTGAGACCAGCTGGATCAGTGAGTGGAGTTGGGTTTGTTTTGCTGGAGCCAGAGCAGTTCTTTTTGATTGACCTAAGGGTGAAACGCTTGTGCATTTGGGTTGGGGTTCCCTTGAAATCTGCTCCCTTCTCTGGGAAGCTGTTTCAAGACAGTTAATTGGAAACCTGGGAGCCAGCCAGTCCTCCTGCACTTTTGTGCACCTCGGGTCTTGCAAAACGTGTGTGTTTGAGGTGTTATAAAGCCAGCCTCCCTGTGGTGTCTTGGACAGTGTGGTGCTGGGTGATGACAGCTGCCACCTGAGAGGGGCAGCCCGGGGCCCTCACAGCATCGCTGCAGCTCGTTCTTGCCACAATCCTGGGAGGTGAGCAGTGGCCCTGCACTTACCAGGGAAGGGACAAGCTGGCCTAGAGAGAGTAAGACACTGCCCCAGGGCCTCCGGGCTCTCCCCGTTAGAGCCGGAATGTAAATCACTGCCTCTCCTGCCTCACAGCCGGCAGCGGGCTTGGCTTGGAAAGGCCTCCGGCTCCCAGAGGGCTTGGTCGTCCCCACCCAGCCACGGTGCTCAACCCGCCTCTGCGAGCCTTGCTGTCCCCTCCTGGACCCTCACCGACAACTTCCCATCTCACTTAAGAGCCGTGGCTGCAGCCTAGGGTGGAAGGTCTCGGCCCGGGTCACCCAGTTAGGGCCGAGCTGGAGCGCTTCTAGCGTGGAGGGGGGGCCTTTCTGTGAGGTGCTCAGGGACCTCTCCCCACTCGCCCCCCAGGCCGGTTGCTGTCTTCTAAAGAGGGTTTGGGCTCTTTTCCCTCAAGACAAGGCCTGAGGCCCTGGCTGACTTTTGCTGAGCAAACCGGGCAATAGGTGGCGACAAAACCTGCTCTATGCTTCTGGGCCAGCCCGCCTGGGCAGCAGCAGCAAATGCCCTGGGCTGGGGGCTGGAAGGGCCCTGGATGGGGTGGAGACCTCTTGGGACGGCTCTAGGCCTCTCTCTCGACCCAGCTGCTTCACATGGTCGCTCCATAAGACTGGTCTGGCTGGGCATTGGGGCCCAACTCCTGGGCCCCTGTCCTCCAAGAGGAAAAGGCAGCAAGTGTGGTCAGTCCTCAGCACAGCTGGAGAGGCGGAGGGGCTCTGCAGGCAGGTGACTTGTGACAAAGAAGGAGCCTGAAGGGCCGCTGCAGGCAGGCAGAGAGCATGGCAGGAGCAGAGGCCCGGAGGTGACCCACCTGTGCATCTGCACATTTGCGAAAATAAGTCTTTGCGTGGATGTCACTTGGGCAGGCAGACGGGATGGATCACGGAGAGCTGTGTTTGTGTCGGGCTGAGAAATCACACCCTCCTTTGGGCCTTGGGGAGCCCTGCAGTCTCCTCCCCAGGTGAACAGCAATCCTGGAGATCTCTCTCTCTCATTCTCTCCCTCTCTCTCTCTCTCTCTCTCTCTCTCTCTCTCTGGCTCAGGAGCCAGGCTGGCTGCAGGGAAGGGCTGGGCCCTTTACTTGGCTCCTTCTCTCCTGACCTCATTAAGAAGCTTACCTTGACCTCTCTAATCGCTTTGGTCAACCCGGTCATGATAATGACATCATAACAGTGAGGAGTCAGACTTAATCCAAAGCATCAGTTAAGCAAAAAAGCCTGTGTGTTTGCGTTTGCACACAGGGCACTCGTGTTTTTGGCCTAGGAGGCAAACATTCTAGAAAGAGACGGAAATGCCAGAAGATAGATAAGAAGGTGATATAAATATTGTAATAAACCAAAAAATATGTTATCTTTCTTAAAAATGTGATTTTTTTCTTTTTTCTTTTTTTTTTTTGCGGTGCGCTGGCCTCTCACTGTTGCGGCCTCTCCCGTTGCGGAGCACAGGCTCCTATGCGCAGGCTCCAACGCGCAGGCTCAGCGGCCATGGCTCACGGGCCCAGCCACTCCGCGGCATGTGGGATCTTCCCAGACCGGGACACGAACCCGCGTCCCCTACGGCAGGCGGACTCTCAACCACTGCGCCATCAGGGAAGCCCTAAATGTGATTTTCTTAATTCACAGCCCTTCACACTAAAAGCGCAGCTGCAGGTGGGGCAGCACTTGAGTCCGATCTCTGTGTCCCCGTCCTGCCCCCTTTACCAGCTCCTTCCTGCTGAGCTCGTCCTCCCTGACCACTCAGACAGAAAGAGAAACACCCTTCTAGGGAGAAGCAATGTCAGACCCAGAAAATTCACCATCCACGACGGGAATTGACTTGGGGGGGGCGGGGCGGGGGCACTGTGGCTGCTCTTTGAGAAACGTCAGGAAATAAGAACAGCCCCAGGAGACAGACTCCAGACAAACGGCCACTTTGGAAAAGATGGACTCCAGGAAAAGGGTCATGTGGCCCCAGAAAGAGCCCCACACTTTCTCCTGCCTAGTGACTCGGTGTTTGTGCAGCAACTGTGACAGGTGCTCACTGGATGCCAGTGGAACCTGAATCCAAATTCCTGATGCAAAATCTCAGCTGGTTTCTGAGAACCTCGAGGTACGTTGCGAGGTGGACAAGTAAGCGGTCATCATCTGTTCACGAGGAACAGGCTGTGGCCAGACTCATGCTGCTGTGGCTCGTGTCGGAGGGACTCCTGCGTGACTCGTGAGACCTCGCACATACAGACTATATCTCCGCACCCTCACACAAGGCAGTGAAAGTCATTTCCCTCACACTGCTGCCCCCCCCCCCGCCCCAGCCCTGAGCCAGACCCTCAGGGGCCCTGCTGCCCTCCCTCCTCCCGCTCAGCGTCATCCCAAAGCTGAGGGTTTTGCCTCCGTAGTGTCCCTTGTATCAGCCCCTAACTCTCCATCTCTCTGCCCTTCCTGGCTCAGATGTAACGACCTCTCTCCTTGATCACTGGACACCTTTCCCCCTAGCCTCCCCAGTCCTAGACTCCATCCCTCCATCCTCCACCTGCCAGCCCCATCCTGCTCCGGCTTAAATGCTTCAGTTGTTCCCAGTAGCCTTTAAGATAAAGTTCAAACTCTCTAATTTAGCATAGGAGGCCTGGCCTATCTCCAGCCATTCCCTGCCAGCCTCCCTGCCTTCCAGCCACGCTGAGCCACCTGCGGCTCCTAAATGTTCACACCATTCCACCCCTTGTACCTCCCCATGTGTTGCTCTCAGACCAGACCACATTTCCATTCCTCTTCCAAAGCTTAACTTAAGACAGGATCCTGAGTGGAAGCCTCCAGGGCTCACAAAGAGGCAGGACACGTGTCCCCAGCAAACTGTCAGTCATCCCAACAATCATGGGAAAGGGGCCATTCAGCACAAGAGTGAACTTCTCTGCCCCCAGTCTGGCAAATAAAATCATAAAGCTTCCTCTTTTCTTGGTATTAAAACATTTCTCATATTTTAAAAAATTATTTTAATTTCTTTATACAAAAACCACACGTATAAGATAGTTATAAATATATGCATAAACCTGGAAAGAAAAAAAAAACTTAAACGTCCCCTCCTCCAGGCAGCCTTCCCTGACCACCCTGACATAGCTGCCTCCGAGATGCCCAGGGCCTTGGTTCCCAACACCCCACAGTAACTGGATGGTCTGGCCTGACTTCCCCAAGGCTGTGAGCTCCTCCAGGACAGGGACAGGATGTCACCTGACTGTGGTCCTCCATTCCCCTGCATAGTCAGAGAGACAGGAGCCCCAGTTTGTTGAAGGAATAAATAGAGCTCACTTATAAGCTATGTTCACATACCTCATGAAATCCTTATGGACAAGTCAAAGACAATGCAGAATAGGTGGCTTGAAATGAGGTCTGCCTTGGCTGGCTGTGTTGAGGAAATCTGGCTCAAGGACCCTGGATAGAAAATAAAGACGAACCCGGGTCAGACAAGAAGACTGTGAACTCAGCGTGAGCCATGGGCGGCAGCAACTGCTAAAGAGGGCAGGGCAAGCGCTGGTGGGGCAAGTGGGGGCCGTGGGACCCCAGAACCCCGGGCAGGTCTGCAGGCTGCAGATCTGGAGACGATCGTCGACCCAGAGAAGGGCCGCGGGCACACGGACACCTTAACAACAGGGCTATCTCCCTCCGTGGTGGTTGTGAAAGCCAAACCTGATGGCATCTTCGGTGTCAGGGGAGCCCTAGGAGCCAACAGCAGACAGCAACTAGTTGGCTGGAAATGCGGTGAGGGTTTCCAACTTAATTGTGAACAGTTGTTGGAAAACGTGCAGTTGACTAGGAGGACTGAAGGTCACGACGATGTCAGCCCCTCTGAACTACCCAGTTCCGTCCCCACCCCAGAGATGGCGTGGCTCCCCAGCCCAAGGGTCACTCCCCGGGCACCATCCATGCTGTGCCCCTCTGCTAGGGCTGGCGCCTCCACCCCCGTTTCTCCTAAACCCCCGCAAGGCCCACTTGCCCCACCCCGTGCGGCGGCGTTTGGAGTCTAAAGCAGACGCCTAGGTGGGCTGACCCCTGCTTGGCCACAGCCGATAGCTGCCCGCCATCAATAGCACAGTGTCCCGGCACACAAAGAGCCTTACTCAAGCTCCATGGAATGGATGTGAAAATCACCGAGGTGGATTTCCAACCTCAGAATTACTCAGCAGCCCTTTCCTGCGTCACTGGTTCCTTTCTGGATTCCATGAGGGAGCCCTTCCCAACCTTGCCCTTGATGTTCATGCCCCTTCTTCCCCTCCAGCACCCCCTTCTCCTATCTCCAGGCCCAGTGACCTGGCCTCTTCCTCCACAGAGCCAATAAACGTCATTGGGCATGAAATAAGACCCCCCTTTCCCCTCACCCCTACTTCTGTATCTTTGCCCCCCTCACCTCCTCCCCAGGGTCCTCGGGGCAGGAGTTAGGGGTGGGGGAAATGCCCACCCCTTGCCCCTTTCTGTGCTGTCGATCTGGGCCTCAGCGGTTCATCAGCCTCCTCTGTTTGTGACACACAGGCTTCTTCTCCCCTTCTGCCTC